TGCAATGCTCTGTTAGTAGACATACTAGAGATTTGGCAGTTTTCCTGTCTTTTTTACGAATGTCCTACTACGAACTATTGCACGTGTCTCTACCCTGGTGGATTTTTCCACCATTCTAGAAAAAAAATTTGACCACCCCATTGTTCTGTGGCCGTTCTTGTAACTTGCAGCCATGCTTGTTAATTTTGCATCTTCTCAGACGGGTTCTGGACCTTGTCAGCATTTGTTCATCCATTTTTTTTCTTTTTTGAGCCATAATTTATACCTCAGACGCAGTGGAAGTCTTCAATTTGCTCCTAAATATCTGCATCCATACAAAGAAGAACATCAACTCGTTATTGATTTTATAATAATAACGATGGCTTTATTTAATAAATACATGGGCGAAGTCTGGCTAAAAAAGCGACTTACTTTATCAATTAGCTTAATCAGTTTCATTCACTAAATGCTTAAAGCTCTATTAGATTAGAGTAGATTAGGTTCTTCGAGGTAGCTATAGACCTAATCCACTGCACTTTTCAGATATACTGTGGTCCTCTTCTGAACCTTAGGTTACATTCTCCAGTCCTATAATTTTCAAAAAGTCTAGCAACTTGGTGACTGAACCCTCCATATAGCTCTGTCAGTGGCCTATCATTGCCTATTACCGAGAACCGCACATTTATTGCCAGGCTGTCGCACCGACATAAAATGTATTCTGTCGTTTCTTCTTCAGATTGACGGAACCTGCACATGGTTTCGTTTGTCAATCCTTTTGTTTGTCAATCCAATGCGTATTCAACTTACAATACCCTGTTAGTAGACCCACTATAGTTTTGACTATCTTTCTGTCTTTGCTTTGATAAGCCTGATGGTTTACCGTGAATTGTGGCGAATGTCCTACTACGAATTTTTTCGCCTGTCTGTGACCTGGTGAATTTCTCCACCATTCTAGAGATTTGTCCGCTACCCATCTTTATGTGACCATTTTCGTGACTGCCTTGGCAACGCTGCGAAGGGATTCTGGGCCTATGAATGGCATTGATGCCTTTTTTTACCATTTAATCTGCCTTTTTGTTAAACTTGTGACCCTGGTACTCTCGTACCCAGGCTAAAGTAACAATGGTACGCTCACCCAAAGTATTTAGAGCACACACACAATCCCACACTAATCTAGAATTGACTTCCGTGGAACCGAGTGCCTTTAGCGCTGCTTGGCTGTCTGTGTATTTATTATTTCTTCTACACAATAGTGAATTGCTGTTAATTCCGCCTGGAAAATTGTGTCTACTATTCCAGCTCCTACACCCTCCAATGTTTTTGAGCCGTCTGCATACCAGGTTGCCTCAGCTTGAATAAACCTTTTATCCACTCTTCCCTTCCTGGTATGGTTATGTTAAATTTATTATTAAAGTTATACCTTGTAGCTTGTAGCTGTTGCATCTAGCGATAATTCCAATACCTTGTCTGCTAATCAATCATCTAAAGCCCTGTACTCACTATTCACTGATGAGGTTCATCGATGCCGTTCGTCAATGCGTCGATCGGTTTTTTTTAGGCGAACCATCAAAAGAAATAACGAACAGAATGGATCAATTTCCAAACAAACTTGTAGAAAATTACAATACAACTAAAAATGATTTTGGACTTCTCCAATTCAAATATCTAATATTGAAAAATAAAATATGAACTATCTAATATAAAAAAATTATTCTTTTAATGGAGTTAAAAGTTTAAATAAAATTGATACTTGCACAAAATTACAATATTTATTTAAATTTTTATTAAGGTATAAATTGCATTTTATTTCACTACTAGATCTTTATTTTCGAGTTTATTATAAAACACACCTTAACAATACGAGAGAACATGAAATATTATTGTAAATTACAATGTAAACAACGTTCTTTTCCTCCTCATTATATTTATGTTATGAACGAAATTATTGTACGTATATGTTGTTACACCTTTAATGATAAAAACGGGTTTTTAAAAGGTTTAACCTATTTTTGTTATGAAATTTACGTTTGTTTGTAAAAATATTAAAACTTTCGTAAAGTGAGAAAAGAATGCGATATTATTATTAACACAACGACTGGTGGGAAAAGTAATAGAATTGTTTAATGTTAATGAAATAATATTCAATTTATACCTATATTATAGGATTTTTTATTTAGTTTTTAAGAAGTTCTAGTATGACCCACAACTCCCTTTTCTTTATAATTTTGATGTGTCTATCTCAGAAATTGTAGTAGTAAGTAGCCAACTTTTTCAAAAAAAAATCCCTTTTTTAGGTTTCTTTTTTTTACTTGCGCGTTTTTAACTGCACGGTTAAAACCGAGCAAAATAACCGAAGTGTATGGAGGCCTTAAGAGACAGCCTTGCACATCCAACAACAAAAAACTGCGTATTTTTAAGGTACGCGCATATTGACCAGAGCCGCACTCGCCGCACGCGCCGCACGAAACACGCCGTACCAAACGCGCCGCATTATTCGCTATTTTATTTCTTTTTGCTCCTACTATACCCGTATTTGCCAATCAAACTCATCAGTCGCTTCCGTCTGCGGTGATAAGCGTGTTTTTTTAATATTTCTCGACAATAAACGACAACGAACAAGAAATAATTATGAGCTCCTTGCTAATAAAAGAAGAAGAAATCACGAGAAAGAATCGAAAGTTATAGGTTCACAATATTGGCAAAAATCCACATTATTTCCATATTTAATTGAGGATGAATTAAACATTTTTCAATATTTCAATATGAGCCATGAAAAATTTGCGAACTTTCTTAGCCATATTGAATTTCTAATCTCTTCTTCGGCTACCTACGCTACGTAGAGTAGAAGGAGTTGCGTGTGACGTCAGCAGCACTAGCCGCATTTACCGAAAATCATTCTGGCCCAACAATGCTGGCCGCATTTTCGTCGATGCGATTCGTGCGGTTCTGGCTAGTGTGCAAACTAGCGATGGGAACTATCGAATGAATTAGACTATCGAATGGTTAATGAATGAATGATTTCAACTATCGAATGGTTTTATTCGAATAAAATCATTCATTCATTTGTAAACTAAAGCATATGTGACAACCTCGCCGTGCGACTAAATGGTTATCGTTGAGCCACGACTATCGAATGCTTTTGATAAATGAAATTTAGTATTCGTTTGGATTTTTGTATGCGTCATTGCATTATTGGTTCTTCAAATTTTTATAACTTCGCCGTATAAATACTGTGCTATTTTTGCGTTTATTAAAATAGTTAAAATACTAAAATAGTAGTTATTTTTTAATTTTATTTATTGACGATTGTGTGCATGTGCAGGTGGTCAAAATTTTTCCGATAATTTGTGTGGTTTTCCGTAGTCCGATCTTTCAATTATTTCATTTTATATGGTATATGGTCTATTTTTTAATGGGAAATTTTGAGAAGTAGCAATTTTTAAGAGAGATGAGATGAACTTACAATTAATTTTAAAATACATATTTGTATTTTAGATGTTTTAATAATACCTATGAATTAGTTGGAACTTAATAATTATATTTAAGTAATGTGGTTAAATAAATGGTTATCGAACTCAAACTATGGGGTGAGAAAATTAAAATGAAAATTTTACACGTGCCAATTTAAAAAAAAAAAGTTAACGATGTTTGTATTTTGTTTATGCTAATTCTCTTACATGTAGTTTTTGCGAAGAAATATTTCATTTATTTTTTAAAGTAAATGCCAGTAAAAGTAAATATAATTTTTAAATAGTAATATAAAGCACCTAATATAAATAATTTTGATTTCTAATTTTTTATTTATATTTTCCTTCCATACACCGCTTGCTTAGAAAATTAATAAATGTTTATATTTCATGATTTTAAAATTTGTTGTTAATATAACAAATTAGTTCTGTAATTATTATTATTTAATAAACCAACGTTGCCAAAAAATTAGAAACTATATTATTTTTAAATAGGATCTAATATAAATAATTTTGACATCTAATTTGTTGTTTATATTTTGCTACTACTTAAAAAAAATATTTATATTAAATGATTTTAAATTTTGTTGTTAATAGGTATAACAAATTATTACTGTTATTATTATTTATTAAACCAGTCTTTGCTTAAAAACATTAAAAATAATTTTCCTACATCCAAAATAACAAGTATTATTGCAGTGTAACAACAGAATATTAATAAAAAAATGCAGAATATATAGACATACTATCCCTAACTAACTAAAGCCAAACAATAATATTCTTTGCTAATATCAACTAATACAAAGATATGGCAACAGCGCCCTTCATAATGTATTTTCTGTGTAAATACTAGCACCTCAATAAAAAAAATAATGTGTCCTTATCTATATATGACTCCGCAAAAAATCAAAGATGCCGGCTTCTTTCATAGCATTGCCACCGACCGCTTTCTCGGAAAAAACCTACGTCGCCGGGCGACAACTAAAATTCAGTTAATATTTTATTATAATCGATCCTGACGAATAAATGAATTTCATAAATGAATGAATTTTATAAATGAATGAATTTTATAAATGAATGAATTTTATAAATGAATGGTTTTTGCTGCCGAATTACTAGAATACAATATTTCAAGGCAGATGACGGATCTATTCGATAATTTTTATTCGAATAGTTTTCAACGAATGTTTTCTTACTAACTATCGAATTATTCGAATGAATTGCAACTATCGAATGTTTCGATAGTATTCATTCGATAGTTCCCACTACTAGTGCAAACCTCATTGAAAGTAACGCAAACAATATTTTTCTTCGGTCGATGCGGCGCAGCGCGTGCGGCTCTGGTCAGTGTGCGCGTACCTTAAGGGGTGTAAAGATCTTTAACACCTTTTTAATTTCTAAAATATTATAGGTACGTATTTTATTTATATAAAAGGAAATAAAATGTTTTATTAAATCTCTGTTTCATTAATTGTGAAGGTGTAAATATTATTATTTATTATTGTGAAGTATTAAGCACTTGGGAAAATATTCTAGGTAGACGAAAAATACTCTAGATACTTTGGTTTATATTTCTAATAAAAAAAATACATTAAAATTTATAATGGATTTTATGAAATCACTTTATATTCTAATTAAATAGTAACATAAGTAAGTTATTAACTAAAACTTAATATATTTTCTTTTTTAACGGTTTAGTCATAAAAATCAGGCATCCTGCAAAACCTCCAGATTTATACCGGGCTCGGGCAGCTCTGGCTGATGTTCTCTAGCAGACGTGAAGTAGGCCTTGGCCAGATGCGGTTTTCCACTACGGTGATGCAAAACCGCCAAATTGTTGAATGCACTTGCGTGGGTCGGATCGGCAACCAAGCATAAGTTTAAACATTGTATGGCCAACCCAATATCTCCCGCTGCCTATAAAAATAAAAATTAACTAATAACAAAGACAGTTTGAATGAAATATCAAAGAACAATCAGATATTAATTTACAGGAGATATTATTTTCGAAGAAAGGTAGTAAAGTAGACACAAAACTTCATAACTTTTTTCGCATTTTAGATGCAGTAATATGGCCTTAATAGGTATTAACTAGTAGTGGGAACTATCGAATGAATACTATCGAAACATTCGATAGTTGCAATTCATTCGAATAATTCGATAGTTAGTAAGAAAACATTCGTTGAAAACTATTCGAATAAAAATTATCGAATAGATCCGTCATCTGCCTTGAAATATTGTATTCTAGTAATTCGGCAGCAAAAACCATTCATTTATAAAATTCATTCATTCGTCAGGATCGATTATAATAAAATATTAACTGAATTTTAGTTGTCGCCCGGCGACGTAGGTTTCTTTCCGAGAAACCCGACAGCGGTCGGTGGCAATGCTATGAAAGAAGCCGGCATCTTTGATTTTTTGCGGAGTCAGATATAGATAAGGACACATTATTTTTTTATTGAGGTGCTAGTATTTACACAGAAAATACATTATGAAAGGCGCTGTTGCCATATTTTGGTATTAGTTGATATTAGCAAAGAATATTATTGTTTGGCTTTAGTTAATTAGGGAATATAAAGACATACTATCTATTCTGCATTTTTTTTATTAATATTCTGTTGTTACACTGCAATAATACTTGTTATTTTGGATGTAGGAAAATTATTTTTAATGTTTTTTAGCAAAGACTGGTTTAATAAATAATAATAACAATAATAATTTGTTATACCTATTAACAACAAAATTTAAAATCATTTAATATAAATATTTTCTTTTAAGTAGTAGCAAAATATAAACAACAAATTAGATGTCAAAATTATTTATATTAGATCCTATTTAAAAATAATATAGTCTCTAAATTTTTTGGCAACGGTGGTTTATTAAATAATAATAATTACAGAACTAATTTGTTATATTAACAACAAATTTTAAAATCATGAAATATAAACATTTATTAATTTTCTAAGCATGCAGTGTAATGTAAGGAAAATATAAATAAAAAATTAGAAATCAAAATTATTTATATTAGGTGCTTTATATTACTATTTAAAAATTATATTTACTTTTACTGGCATTTACTTTAAAAAATAAATGAAATATTTTTTCTTCGCAAAAAACTACATGTAAAAGAATTAGCATAAACAAAATATAAACATCGTTAACTTTTTTTTTAAATTGGCACGTGTAAAACTTTCATTTTAATTTTCTCACCCCATAGTTTGAGTTCGATAACCATTTACTTAAATATTATTATACAACCACATTACTTAAATATGATTATTAAGTTCAACTAATTCATATTATTAAAACATCTAAAATACAAATATGTATTTTTAAAATTAATTGTAAGTTCTCTCTAATTGTATTTAGTCGCACGGCGAGGTTGTCACATATGCTTTAGTATACAAATGAATGAATGATTTTATTCGAATAAAACCATTCGATAGTTGAAATCATTCATTCATTAACCATTCGATAGTCTAATTCATTCGATAGTTCCCATCGCTAGTATTAACTCTACTAGGGAAATCGAATTACAAAATCAAACCAAGGTACAGAGTGGGCCAAATTGGACGCTTTTAAAGGGAAACACGTTTTTCTATAGGATATAGAGACTAATATAGTTGTCTGGAGTTCAATTTTTTTCAAAAACATGATGGTGAAAACCGCACATCGATATGTGTTACCGTTTCGGAATCACGGGGTGTTTTTCAAAAATGTGAATTTTTGCTGTAACTTCTTTGTCATGGAAAATTTTGTATTTTTATGAAAGCAACTTTTTACGGAGAATTTCATGGTTTAAGTATAAGTTTTTTTTAATTAATAATTTAAGAATTATCAACAGAAAATTTGATTTTTTATATGGCAAACCCTGTATATTTTTAATTAATTGAAAAGAATTTAAAATTACCTTTCCAAAAATATAGCATACTTTATATTTTGCTCGATTCCTCTTTGAGATATAAAGTTTTAAAACAATTTATACGATATTTAACAAAATCAACACATTTAAACTATATCTAATAACAATAAAAATAAATAGCAAACCAAAAATGACATTTTGCTACAGGTGTTCGACATGTCAACCATCTTGGACATGGACAGACGGGACCGTTTTTGAACATTTCTTGCGGAATTTATTAACTCAGTGGGGGTGAAAGATACCCTCGCATAACCGCTAAGTACTTCTAATTCTTGTTTAGATTATACAGGCAATTTAAAAATAAGAACCTTTATTCTTGTGCAAAGATAAAAATCCATAGGCGTTAAGACCCCCGGCTTAACTCTATTCAATTATTCTCGAAATTGGTTGCAAAAATTTGCAAAAAACTTCAGCCTCGTCTTGCTAGAAAAATATATTTTCGAGTTCCATTAGGGACAAGTCCAAAATCTACTAGTTAAAAATGGCGAACTTTTAAAAATTCTTTATTTTGAAGGGGACTATAACAAAATATCAAGTGTGCTGTATTTTTAGAAAGGTAATTTTAAGTCTTTTTTAGTTAATTAAAAATATACAGTGTGTCCCAAATCAAAAATATGTTTTTTGTTGATAACTCTTAAATTATTAATTTAAAAAAATTATACTTAAACCATTGAATTCTACGTAAAAAGGTGCTTTGGAAATGTTTTCATAAAAATCCAAAACTTTCCATAGTAAAAAAGTTACAGCGGTTTGTTAAAAATGTACATTTTTGAAAAACACCCCGTGACTCTGAAACGGTAACAGATATCGATGTGCGGTTTTCACCATCATGTTTTTCATAAAAATTGAGCTCCAGACACCGGTATTAGTTTTCGTCTATCTCCTATAGAAAAGGACGTTTCCCTTTAAAAGCGTCCAATTTGACCCACCCTGTACATATTTCTATAAAAAATCTGCCCTAAGGTTACATCGGGATCCAAGGTATAAGGAGAGACCAAGTTAAAAAGGTGGAGAAAATGGAGACAGATCCTCCAGCTTCCACATCAAGGGTACCTGAGCCGGAGACAAGCTCCCCGACTGTGAAGGACACGGAGGGTTAAATGCACAAAACACTGACACAAGAAGAAGTGCGAGCGCCTTGCTAAATATTGGAAAGTGAAATTGACGTTTAAATTTGACACTGTTGACAAGTCTACTGCTACTAGCGCCCCCAATTTCGCTTGTAGGAACTACGGACTAAATTGTCACGCATGGCGGGAAGTTTAAAAAAATAAAAATTTTTATTTCTTCATTTATTTTTAATTATGACATACACAAAAACACAAAAAATACACCATTTTTTAAAAATATGTTTAATATCAATATCAAATATACAACAGAAATTAATTTCACCACAATAAATTAATAAAATTAAAAAAATAATGTTACAAGTAGATCAAGAGACAAAATTAATTATAACAAAACTGAAAAAAATGGCGTCATAGATGGCTTAAAAATAAAAGATATATCATAATTTTGAAAGTAAAAGTATATGGGAAATGTCTTCGATCATCATTTTTAAGCCAACTGGACGATTATTTCAAACATACAAGCTGAGTTCGTTCATAGTGCTCTGAGAAATCTAGATAAACAAAGAATAATAAATTAAAAGTATTCCAGGGGAAAAGAGAGGAAAAACCTGTATCGTCTCTGATATCTGTCAGGGTATTGTTGAAAGTGTCATCTTTTTGCTCGAAGCAGGCTCGAAGTTTTCAGGTCGATCAAAAAGATGACATTTACAACTGGTAACTTGCTGTAACTTTCACAAATATCAGAGAGAGTACATACAGGCATTGCCTCTCTTTTCCTCTGGGATGCTTTATATCTGTTGTTCTTTGTTTATCTATATTTCTCAGAGCATAATGCCGAACACGACTACAGTATATAATAATTTCAATATCCGAAGTGGAAAGAAAAAAGATCACCTTTCTGTTTTGTACTATGGTCCCTTTCTTCCGATGGCTCATCTCGTTGATATTTAGGAAGGAAAATATTAAATTCAATTTGATTTGATGATCCTTTTCTGTCACCTAAAATCAGAACGACAATGAGCATGTTAAGATGAAAAAAAAAATTATCAACACTTACCTACACGTTAGTCCGAGGAGTTTTATTAAAAACCTATATTTGCCTAAATAATTTATGTATTAAATTTGCAAAGCAAAATGCAGCGTGTAAACAAAAGAAATAAAATGGCGACAAGTCAACGTCAACGACCCGACAAGGAGAAAAGTGGTGTGCGAATAACAAATTATGGGTCACCAAAAATTGTTTTTGTCTCCTTTCAACGCACACTTTAGAAAGAAAAAGAGATGAACTGGAATACTGAAAGAACGTCAAGGCTTTATCTGTCACTCTTGTCAATAATTTATCGGTAAGGAAGATTCCTAGAAAATCGCTTGTAGTCAAGTTTTCAACCATTGCCAGTTCTCCCATAAGAAGTGTCATCCACCTGGCTAAATGGCTAAACCCCAACCGTGGAAGGGTGTCTACCCTGGTAGGAGGTAGATGTCCACTTCTTGGATGATAAATAGTTGTTGTCAGAGGAGGATGGGTAATACCCTGTCCCCCCTACAACAGGACGACGCCCATGTATGATGAGTTATAGATTGTATCATGATTTATAGGTCAATAAAGGGGGACAAAATAGCTCTTTAAGATCGCGGTGATTAACACCCCTTCCACTCATTCTTCATTCTATTCTGCTAGGTAAATTGAATTACAAAACCAAACCAAGGTACATATTTTTATAGAACAGAAAACTCTACGTTGTTATGTTAGCGACGATATTTACATCAGATAAAACAAAGAATTAAAATTACCAAAATATTTCGGTTTCATAAAGTTAAGTGACCACAACTACGTAGGCAGTATACTAATTAAGATATTGTCTGAGACGTAAAGCGAATGCAACGTTAAATATTTTATTTAAAACCTTAAAGCTACACCCTCGCAC